GTGGCTGGCGCCTTAGCCGGTTGAGCTATAGGCGCCGAGCCTGAGCTACAGCTCTTAACAAGCTCAGTGAGAGCCAGAATGAGACCATGCTGTTTCCATCTCCCCAACCAGCCACAAACCAAGAACACTTGTTCCACTCAATACTCAACCTTTCTTTTTATCCTCATGAAAGACAAGCTGTTCCCAAATCCCCTGGGGGAGAAATGAGAAAGGGACTCATTCCCAGGCCCTGTGCTGAGGGCCAGCCCAAAGGAAGATACCAGATAATAGAGACAAAGCAGGAGGAAGAAGCAACTGAATGAAGACTGGCCCCCTAAGCAGAACATGGTCCCTAAAAAACTTCACACCATGTACATTTCAGATAGGGAGCAGCTTAAAACAAGGAATTTTAGAGTTGGAAAGAATCTCTGAGATCATCAGGGCCATTTTGCAGGTGAGGAAACTGAGGCCCACATAGCTAGTCCTGAATGTCCATAATCTTCCTGGGGTCTGTCTCCTCAGTTGGGTTGGTTGAGTAGAGGTAGCTGCCTTATACCCATCAGGCCAACAGCCTGCTCATGCTCAGACCATGGCACTTAACACAGAGCTTCTGGCTGCTTAGTCCATGAACAAGCAAGCCTCTACATGGGCTCCCCCAACTTCAACACGCAGCAGCTTCAGCCTGCCAAGTGCGCCTGTCCCGTCCTCCTGTCTCATCCCTGACCCCTGCCACCCTAAGGTCAGATGGATTAACTGACCACAGAAGCACAGAAGGAAAAAATTAACACAGTTGACTTGTCTATGTGGTGAGCATTCTGATCTTCCTATAATTATAAATCTAACCACATCACTAAAGAGGAAGCCAAGACACTGAAACCCTGAGGCATAGGCCTACGATGTATCTTTAGGTAAGAGCAGCTGAGATCCGGATCCAGGCCCCTGTCGTTCAGAGTGCTACAGCACTGCCTATATACACTACAGCATTGGTTCAGGACGGGGGGGGGAGAAAATCAACCCCATGGGAGGTCCTACATCTCACTCCTGTTAGATTTTCAATGGAAACGCCATCAAAGCTATGAGGAGATCCTAATCGAGGGACTCATAACCCCCTGAATCTAACTGCAAATTTCAAGCATATGTTCCTAGCTGTGAGAGAAACCCATGGCTATTGTCAGAGTCACAGGGCACTGCCCAATACACCACCATCACCACCCTGCCCCGTGCCCAGCCCCAGCAGCCAAAAATGCAAACCACTGGTACAGAGTAACAGTTGTGTTTTTCTAAACCTAACTCGAGATATCCTCTCTGGGCAGCCCTCTCAAAGATCTCTTCCAGAGCCTTCTCACTGTGAGTGAGCTGTCTGGGGATGCCCAAAGAACTTGTTCCCCCGAGTGAACCCACGTCTCACCTTCCCAGAGGCAGGCTAGGGTGAGGCTCTCCTGCACAGACAGGTGCTACTCAGCCCTGAAGCGCGTGCTCAGACACACTTCCTCATTGCCTGTTGTGAGGCTTCCTGCTAAGCCTGATGACAGCCCTGGGTTGGATTCCTCACAGCACTCTGCCCAGTGCTGACACCCCATTGGCCCTGCTGGCTTCTCTGCTTCCTCCTGGGGCCTTCTGAGTCCAGCTTACTCAGCTCTAAGCTCGTTGTCTAGGGTGTTAGGCTGGGAGTTCCTCCAAAACAGAACTCTCACCTCACTCACCTTGTGCCTTCTCAGTGCCATTCGGCAGGGCCCAGCACTTAGTAAGCACCAGCAAAACACTACTTGATGTATTTATAACTAAACAAATGTCAATCTCATCCACAGCTCTATCTAACACTATCACTGCAGCATTAACAGGAGCTAAAGCAGTGGTTTTCAAACTTGGGGGGGTGGGGAGCAGCAGGATTATATTTTCCTTTTTTTTTTTGATGACAAGGTTTTGCTCTGTCTCCCAGGCTTTAGTGCAGTGGAGTCATCATAGCTCAGTGGTGCAGCCTCAAACTCCTGGACTCAAGCGATCCTCCTGCCTCAGCCTCTCAAGTAGCTGAGACTACAGACATGTGCCATCATACCCGCCTCATTTTTCTCTGTTTAGCAGAGATGGGGGCAAGGGCAGGAGAGGTCCTCACTGCATTGCCAGGATAGTCTTGAACTCCTGGCCTCAAGCAATCTGCCTGCCTTGGCATCCCACAGTGCTAGGATTATAGGCATGAGCCACCGAGCCCCACTACTCACAGGTTTGAGACCAGCCTGAGCCAAAGCAAGACCTTGTCTCTAAAAAATAGCCAGGCATTGTGGTAAGCGCTTGTAATCCCAGCTACTCAGGAGGCTGAGGCAAGAGAATCGTTTGAGCTCAAGAGTTTGAGGTTGCTGTGAGCTATGACACTATGGCACTCTAGTGAGGATGACAAAGTGAGAGACAGCCTCAAAAAAAAAAAAAACTTTTTATCCAAATATCTTATGTCTAGAACAGACAAGGGGGAGGTGCTCTCTCTGCAATGACACAGCAATATCCCCTCCACTGACCCCCAGGCTCCTCAGAAGAGCAGTTAAAAGCCACTAGGCAGCAAAAAGACTACTACAGTCACCATATTGGACCTGAAGAACAAAAATCCACACTGAGAAATATCACTTCCTAAATATCCCTGGAAGAGGATCCCTTGGAAAAATGAGCTGCACCATTTCTCCCACTGTCCTAAGGGAAAAAGAAGAGGGCACCAACCAACCCTCACCACAGCCACAGCTAAAATGTCCCATGGCCATACTAGTGCAACCCTACGCAATCCAGCCCCATCATCCTTTACCCTGCAAGGGGCACTGCCTAGCGGCAGTCGATGCCTCTTGGCAGTCAGGAGACACCACACTCCATCATCACCACACTCCCCTGGCTCCTGCACCTGGTTCCACCCAAACATCATCCCTCACCCTGCTCCTGCCTGGGCCCTAGGCCCCTCACTCCTCTTTGCTTCAGTTCCATCTTCTTGAAGACCCTGAGACCTTCCAGTGAAGTGTTCTCAATTTTAAACCTGCCCCAGCTACTGCCTCATGGTATAACTTCAGGAAAGTTGTACCCCCTCTGAGCCTCAGTTTACTCATTTGTCAAATGAAGAGTTTTAACTACTATAAATGAGGATGGCTGGCCCAAGGGATACAGATGAGATGCTATTACAAATCAGAGCCAATGTCAGAAGAGCATAAGAGATTGTATAGAAACTCAGGCATAAAGAAAAAACACAAAAGCTGAGGGACTACATTCCAGAAGCGTGTACAATGTGGCAGAGTGGGAAGAAGAACTCTAGATTTATAAAGAAATCAACATTCATAGAGGGCCTGCTGTTTGCCAGCCCTGACACCAGCTGCTCTTATGCATATTAGCATGGATGTGCATTAACTCCCAGTTTTGTTTCTGATGTGCTATGTGATTTGGGGCAAGTCAGTCACCTTCTCTGAGCATCAGTTTCCTTACCTGACCAACCACATAAGAACCGGGAGAGAATAAGGCAAGTGTCTGAAGTTATTTGCTGTATTTTTTTTTTTTTTGAAATAGAACCTCAAGCTGTCACCCTGGGTAGAGTGCTGTGACATCACAGCTCACAGCAACCTCCAATTCCTGGGCTCAAGCAATTCTCCTGCCTCCGCCTCCCAAGTAGCTGTGACTATAGGCGCCCGCCACAACATCCAGCTATTTTTTGGTTGCAGCCATCCTTGTTTGGCAGGCCCGGGTTGGATTCGAACCCGCCAACTCAGGTGTATGTGACTGGCGCCTTAGCCGCTTAAGCCACAGGCGCCAAGCCATTCATTGTATCTTAAGGAGGCACACACACAAGGAGCCCAGTTCAAGAGTGCATGATGTCAGACTCCTTGCCCAGCTGCCAAATCTTGGTTTGAACTTCTATGACTACCATCTCCCAGGCTTATAAGGGTTCAGCTTTGAGTATCAGCTCAGTGTCAGGAGAAATCAAACAGCACAGCACCACGTTCCTTCTCTACACAACCTTGGCATACATACTCAGACTAAGTTAGGAGTCAGACCACAGGAATCTTGACCCAGTGAATCTTCTCCTGCATCTGACTTTAGAGCGAAAAATCAATATACCATGTAAAACGTACTGTGAGCAAGTGGGCCAAAACCATCCCCTGGGTTTTATGGAGGAGAAAGGCCAACAAGCTGCATCTTCTTGCTGAGTTTAGGCTTTTCATTTTTGGATATCAACGTGCAGGTCCATGATGTCTTGCAGGCGGATAAAGACCTCAACCATGGCGGGCTGACTGTAACTCCAAAAGGAGAGAATTTACCCTGGTGCCAGTCCCCAGAGCCAAGGCCAGAGCTAAAAGCAAATTCTACACAGGAATAAGCCTCAAGACCCTGGAGAATGCCAAAGGCCATCTCTTAGAGTGACATTACACAGCTTGCCTGGTTTTCTTTCATTCAAAGCACAACCAGTTGGGTCTCTACCTTTCGGTGTCCTTTCTCAACTGCTTACTCTTCCACCTCCCTGACCAGCCCCCAACTTCCCCCCTTTACCTATCTCCTCTGGCAACTGAGAAAACCTCAGCCATCCTTCACCTGATCCAAACCACCAACCACATCCCAATCCAGCTTCACCAGCAAGATCAAAAATCACTCACCTCCTTCACCCAGGTATGAGACTGCCACCCAGCACTCCTACTCCCTGTGTCTCACAACCCACTTGATATGGTCCCATTTGCTTAACAATCACTGGGCTCTACCACCAACCTGGCCTCTGCCTCCAGTCACATGACATCCTTCCCCACACTCCAGGCAAATCTGGGCTATAAACTCAGCGTGCTCCCAGGTCTTCTTCCTGGACATCATACAATCCCAGCACCTCAGCAATGCTACCATAAACCTTCTGGGGCCTGCCTCTCTGACTTCCTAGTTACCCCATAAACCTGCTTGCCTGCCTCACTCTAAACACCTCTAAAATCTTCCACCGTTTCCCAGAAATCAGTAAATCTTTTCTAAGGACATTTAATATTCTTTCACTCAGCAATGTATTAAGCACTTACCAGGTGCCAGGCACTGTTCTAGACACTCCAGATAGGCAATGATCTGAGCCAGGAGCCCTCAAGGGGTGTATATGTGGCCAAAGCACTTCTGTAATTTTGGCTGACCCACCCCTGGTACCCCTTGTAAACAGCAAACACTTAGTGGTCACTATGTGTCAGGCAAGGTTCTCAACACTGTGTTGCAATATTTCACTGAATATTCACATCCACCCCATAAAGCAGATCCTACTATTATTCCATTTTACAGATGAGGAAAGTGAACCATGCAGAGATATGATAATTCAACAGGAATGTGCTAGGCCATGTGCAAAGTGCTTTACCTGCCTTACCTCATTTAAACCTCACAGCAATCCCATGAGGCAGATTCTGGGAATGTCTCCATTTTACAGAGAAGGAAACTGAGCCTCACAAAGGACAATGGTTATAATACCAACAGCCAACTTTTCCTACTTTAGCTCATCCAATACTAACACCACCTAGCAAGGTAAGTCCTCACTTCTCAGATGAGGGAACTGAGGTTCAGAAAGGTGAAGCGACTTGCCCAAGGTCAGAGTGAAGAAGCTGGTGGTCCCGAGACTCGAACCCGGGACTGTCCAACTCCAGAGATCGCGCGACTTGACCAAGGTCACACGTGAGGCAGGGGCAGACGCGGTGAGTAGACCCGGCTCGACCGTCCCCTCGGCCCCGCAGCCCCGCGCCCCAACCTCCCCTCCGCGCGG